ATATATAGAGATCTATGAAAGGAATTATAGCCCAATTTTCAGAAACTCAGTTTCCAAGACAGCAACTGTAATTAAATTAAATTTATAAACTTACTATTTCCATCATTGTATTCAATAGCAGCCTTCAAATTCAATGCCTGTGTTATGCCCGACAAAGCCATTGTTATGGGATTACCCACACTACGGGCACTACCATCTGTATCTATCTGAGCACCAATACCCAATTCAGGATGATTTCTAATGCCACGTTCCACAATTTCATCTTTAATACAAAAAAATATAAAGTTTTATACACAACCAAACAATAATCTTCCTTTTAACTTACTGGTGAAATCCAAAGCCTGAGTTTTTTCCTTTTTACGAAAATGTGACAAGGCCAAATTGTAAGCAATCAAGGGATTAAAACCACCCACTTGTAGGGCAGTATTGAAACGTTGTACAGCGCTTTCAAATTGATCGGCTTGATAGAGTAGACAACCTTCATCGTTAAGAGTGTCAGCAGTACCACTTGAGCGTTGATTCAAAACACTTTGAGCTCCCGCAAAATCCTCACTCGAGTACAAAATGGCACTTTGCAATTGTAGACATTGTTCTTTTAACTCCTCATTATCACTGATTTGTTTTAAGACCTTTAAGGCATCCACAAATATGCCCGCCTGATATAGAGATTGGGCATAATAGAATCTAAGTAAAAATAGGTTAAAAATATTGAAAAAGTATAGATGTTATTAAACATACTTATATTTCGGTATCTTTGGTGCCAAATTGCACAATTGCTCATAACAAGTGGCTGCCTCCTCATACTTCTGGGCATGATAGTAACAATAACCTAATATCGAAAGACCGGCTCTAGTATTGGCTGCCTCACCCAAATTGATTATGCACTCAATGACATCTTCGAAACGTTTGTCTTTAATCTGTTTGTAGACGAAACATTGGAAAGTTTTTTTTTTTTTTAATTAATGCACTCCCATGCAATTGAATGCATTGAATTTATAGAATTCATTCAAGTTGTCTAAAACATTCAAGAATACATACCAAATTGTAGATGGTTCGTGTTATATGACCCTCTCTGAGGATTATACCCTGATGCAACATAATTGTTGTTTAGTGTTTTTTTTTTTTTTTTATTTGAATTTTTTCTGATTTTTAATGTTGCAGAGTAAATTTTATAGAATAAAGAATAGAGTAGAATTTGTATTTTTGTATGTTTTGCTATTTCTTATGAAAATTATTTCCATGGTAACGATTTTTTTATTCGTTGTAACAATGCCGGTTAATAAATAAATACAACCCTTATTTAAATAATAGCGACAATATTAAACAATTTAACAATAACAGTGTCCAACAAGAATTACCCAGGAGAAATATTAGTATTGGTTCTAAGATAAACTAATTCTAGAACGAGTCAAAACAGTGCCACTAGATATTTTTGAGAACTTCAAGAGACTAATGCAATAAAATATATCAAAAAGCATGATTATTGAACTTATGACTAAGAGATTGAACCAAAATTTGGTTCCCTTTTTTTATGGTAATAGAATTTACCCGGTTTTTTCAATCATAATATCCCCAACTACCGAAGAATTATCGGATGGAATCCCATCTATAATATTTAAATAACAAAAAAAACATATTTTTAATCCATAGACCAAAGTTTACTCTTCTAAAGTATTGAGCATCGCTTAATCTAAATTTCTCTACCATGCAGGTTTTTGAGATATCGTGCCTGAAAAACCCGCATTTTTGTATATATCCATTTGAGTATGAAAAGTCCCTCGCAAATGTAATAAAAATTATAATAATTTACAGTCTTTTGTATAAAACTTGATTCTAGCTTTCGTCCTTTTTATTTTTTTCAATAATTTTTTTTTGGTCTTTAATTAATGCAAGACCCCACATCCGACTTTGTGTAGTAAAACTATAGACTATATTTTCCGATGGGAATTAGCATGAGGCCCGATAAGTACAAAACTTATGTTTTTGGAATTAAAACCACCACCTCCGAACTGAAAAGCAAGCACACTACAAAACTAACCTATTGGAGACGGCCTTTTAGGTTAGATATGGCACTAAGCACTAACTAGTAGTTAGTTAGTTAGTTAGTTAGTTAGTTAGTTAGTTAGTTAGTTAGTTAGTAGTTAGTTAGTTAGTTAGTTAGTAGTTAGTTAGTTAGTTAGTTAGTTAGTTAGTTAGTTAGTAGTTAGTTAGTTAGTTAGTTAGTTAGTAGTTAGTTAGTAGTTAGTTAGTTAGTTAGTTAGTTAGTTAGTTAGTTAGTTAGTTAGTTAGTTAGTTAGTAGTTAGTTAGTAGTTAGTTAGTTAGTTAGTTAGTTAGTTAGTTAGTTAGTAGTTAGTTAGTTAGTTTAGTTAGTTAGTTAGTTAGTTAGTTAGTTAGTTAGTTAGTTAGTTAGTTAGTTAGTTAGTTAGTTAGTTAGTTAGTTAGTTAGTAGTTAGTTAGTTAGTTAGTTAGTTAGTTAGTTAGTTAGTTAGTTAGTTAGTTAGTTAGTTAGTTAGTTAGTTAGTTAGTTAGTTAGTTAGTTAGTTAGTTAGTTAGTTAGTTAGTTAGTTAGTTAGTTAGTTAGTTAGTTAGTTAGTTAGTTAGTTAGTTAGTTAGTTAGTTAGTTAGTTAGTAGTTAGTTAGTTAGTTAGTTAGTTAGTTAGTTAGTTAGTTAGTTAGTTAGTTAGTTAGTTAGTAGTTAGTTAGTTAGTAGTTAGTTAGTTAGTTAGTTAGTTAGTTAGTTAGTTAGTTAGTTAGTTAGTTAGTTAGTTAGTTAGTAGTTAGTTAGTTAGTTAGTTAGTTAGTTAGTTAGTTAGTTAGTTAGTTAGTTAGTTAGTTAGTTAGTTAGTTAGTTAGTTAGTTAGTTAGTTAGTTAGTTATAAAAGTGATACTTTTTGTATAAATAAATATCTATACTTACTTATTCTATAAATAAATATCTAAATAAAATCAAAATGTCAACGTATCATTATTTGAAAATTTTAAAATTAGTCATTTAAACTTCTTGGGATTACTTTAAACTAATACCTCCGGTTAATAACACAGTTTTATTTATTAGTTCCTCAGTTTTACTTTCATGATTCATATTCTAATAATAAATCATTTTGTATTTTATATTGTGTATTATAACTTTTTATTCTATGATTTATTATGGAGATAAACTTTTTTCATTCTCATTTCCTGGAATTTAAACATTTCAGATGTTCCGTGTGGGCATTATAAATATCAAATATATATTTCCGTTTAGCAGATAACTGACAACGTAAAATTTCCTTTTTCTTCTCATCATGTTCCTCATTTAACTCTATGGCCATGGAGGAAGCATTCAAATGCATTACAACAAATTTATTGGTATTTGTGGCGGCCTTAAAGTAAAGGAAACTATAAGATTTTTCGATTTTCTAATTATTGAAAAAACTTACGGTTTTTGAATGACAATAAAAGAAATCATGAGTATCGGTTATAAGATTACAGGCGGTTAAATCGAAACAGGTTTCTTGTGATGTTGTTTTATGTTGTTCCAATTCAAACTCCGGATCAAGTCCTATGGGAGGTCGCCGATTAATATTGTCTTCATCATAACAAGCCTCAAGAGAATAGGCATATATTCCATTGATCTCTATCAATTGTAGTAAATAAACTCTTAAACAACTAGGTTGATGCAAAAACCCTTTATTGATTTTTAGTGAATTTGAAAAATACACAAGACAAATAAAATAGAAGCAAATAGTTAGAGAACTCTTCATAATAATAAGTCCAATTTTCACTTAAGTATAATTTTAGTTAATGGGTAAATAATACACTCGAATTCTAACTAATTGAAAGGCAAAACACAACTGCTAAAAGAGTCATTAATGAATGAATGGATACAGCAGAATAAAACTTAAGAATACGAATGGAATATCTTATCATCGCTGCGGATACTCGTAATATTTTTATTGTTATTTGACATTGATAATGTAAAATAAAATTTGTTCTGATCGGAAGAGTGGTTGGTATATCTATTCCACGAATAATTTATTTTGTTAGTTTGAGTTCCCTTACCTGTCATATATAAACAATTTGATTCAGAATTTGTAGAATATACATACTTTATATTTTTTGGATTTGGCAGCAACGACATATAAATACCGGTCTCTATAGGTAAGACTATAGACTAGACATATTGACTTGATTGTAGATTATAGACTAGACTATAAACTAGACTATAGACTAGACTATAGACTAGACTATAGACTAGACTATAGACTAGACTATAGACTAGACTATAGACTAGACTATAGACTAGACTATAGACTAGACTATAGACTAGACTATAGACTAGACTATAGACTAGACTATAGACAAGACTATGGACTAGACTATAGACTAGACTATAGACTAGACTATAGACTAGACTATAGACTAGACTATAGACTAGACTATAGACTAGACTATAGACTAGACTATAGACTAGACTATAGACTAGACTATAGACTAGACTATAGACTAGACTATAGACTAGACTATAGACTAGACTATAGACTAGACTATAGACTAGACTATAGACTAGACTATAGACTAGACTATAGACTAGACTATAGACTAGACTATAGACTAGACTATAGACTAGACTATAGACTAGACTATAGACTAGACTAGACTATAGACTAGACTATAGACTAGACTATAGACTAGACTATAGACTAGACTATAGACTAGACTATAGACTAGACTATAGACTAGACTATAGACTAGACTAGACTATAGACTAGACTATAGACTAGACTATAGACTAGACTATAGACTAGACTATAGACTAGACTATAGACTAGACTATAGACTAGACTATAGACTAGACTATAGACTAGACTATAGACTAGACTATAGACTAGACTATAGATTAGACTATAGACTCGACTATAGACTAGACCATTGACTAGTCTATAGACTAGACCATTAACTATATCTATACACTAGGCTATCATAGGTATGAAATACTCAAGATTTACTAACAAATTAAAACTTTAAATCAATTATTCTACATGTGACAAACACTTTACTATACCAATTTTCATTTTAATCTGATTTAGGGTGGATAAAAATATTTGTTTCAGAGATATCGCCAGTTGGTGGTATTAAAAGAATTGGAACACAATTTTCATAAAATGGTTAATTTTGATAACATTTATTTGTCAATTTTATACTTCTTAGAGGGTGTCAATAAAACGTCTTAGATTCGAATAAAAATATTGGTTTATTTGTCAAGATAATGAATGTTATGTTATAAAATTATTAAATATCTATAGATAATGCTAATTTTTGCAATTAAAAACCTATAAACATTTTATTATTAATAAATCTTTTAAGTTAATTGAAATTTAAAAGCATTTTAGTTTTGACGCATAGATAGAGGTACCGAAATGTTAATTAACAAGGGACTTAGACTTATTTAATTCTACTACAATCGAGGATTAAACTGTTTTAACATGGACTAGGTGTTGGAACCTGGAATTAATTGTAAAACATTTAAGCGTCAGATATATTCGTTTTAAGAAGGCTTTTGCTCCTGCTCACGTTGTTGGTACCCCATAGGATTTTAGTCGATTATTTCCGAATACATCCCTGCATGCAAGGATCTAACTTTTAAGAGATCAGTGAGTAGATGCTCATTATCTCTAGGCCGCCAAATATGTAAAATCCGAATACGAAACTTTGGAGGTTTTGGATTCCATTGGCGGATTAATTACACGCGTTCACTTTGGTATAAAAAGACGAACAACGTTAGAGATTTGACGTCCTTGATGGTTAAGAATAAGTCGCTAAGTCACAGTCATAATTCGAATGTAATAAGAAATAATGATAAGGTGAGCACGACAAGGTTATCAAGCAAAATACTGAAAACACAATCAAAACCTATGCGTTTAAAGGTACTACAACCTGACCATACGAGGTCATGTAAGACACAGTTGCCTGAAGGAAAGCGATGGATAATTTTAAGTAGCTTGACATCTACAACTCAACTACAAGTGGCTATCATAGGCCGTAGTCAACCTGAGGGATCCGATAGAATTACATACGATTGCTTTTAATGCCGACAAATAGTTAAAGGGTGACAAGATTTTTGGCAACGAAAAGGAATTAGACTTTCTTAAGGTGTTGATCCTTTTTAAAGAGATTAGATCAAGGCCTTCATGTCTTCTTGAGCCGTACTGCTCTAAAGCAGAAGGAGACTCTTATAGCTAACTGAAGATACACCTAGGTTATAAAAACCCTTCTGGTAAGCGTTGATAAAATATTCGACATGGAACTATTTTAAAAGAAAAAATGTGTGTCGATTCGTCAAAAAAATGTTGGAGGTACACTGAAAGATCCCGAAGAAGAGCCCCCTCGTCAGTGGGTGACTTCCCTATGAGGGAGACTTCCATAAGCAACCGGCTATACAGCGATTTCCGCTGATTAGGCTAATAGACGTCAAAATTTTCAGTGGTTGAAATATCTTAAAGGAAAACTAGATGAAGATTCCCAAGAAACATTATGGGAGTACTGAAAGATCCTGAAGGAAAATACTAGTACATATTCAGAAATCCATTTAACCGTGTTACAAATCTATAACGGGAAGTCAGTCAGGATTTCCGCCTCTCAAAGTTGGGATCTATAGAGATAACGTTAAACTTGACACTGAAACTTCTAGTTCGATCCCGGTAGTTCTGAAAGAGAAGTGGAATCCAAAAACACACTTTTGTGTTCTGATTCAGAAGGCGTTATTGTAATGGTGGTTAACCTTATTTGTAGATCATTGCGAAAGTAATTCAAATGATCATTTGCCATTCTAAACCTGATTCTGTTGCATAACTCCTTCAACTTAGAAACCGAGGGAGGACAATAAAGTTTTTAATTGATTTCTATGATTTATTAATCAAGTAATTTGGGGACTATGTTGTTGATATAGAACACAACTATAATAGTACAGGTCGATTCAGAAGGCGTTATTGTAATGGTGGTTAACCTTATTTGTAGATCATTGCGAAAGTAATTCAAATGATCATTTGCCATTCTAAACCTGATTCTGTTGCATAACTCCTTCAACTTAGAAACCGAGGGAGGACAATAAAGTTTTTAATGTTTACTCTAAGGCATTGATTTCTATGATTTATTAATCAAGTAATTTGGGGACTATGTTGTTGATATAGAACACAACTATAATAGTACAGGTCGACAGAAGGATTGAGCTGCCCTGAAGCCGAATCTGATTCCAGTATTATTCCATCATAACAGGTTTTTTAGATTTCTAAACTTAATTTAAAAAAAAAAGTATTTTTCGACAAATTTGAGACGTCAGATATGCAACAATAATATACTTAAATAATAATTAAGTAATACCACTTATTAATAAAGTACAAATATTAAAAATTTAGAAATAACTTTTATTTATTAAGTAATAGTGTGGATAAAACAATTATGAAAGTGAAAATGCCAAAAACAAACTATACAAATTCCATTAAAAATATGGAATAAAAATGGTGAGATTACGGATGAGAAGTAAGTCTACCATAAGCCAGATGATTTGCCACCGGGAGGATTTTGCACCTTAATTGAGGTGCGGGGACAGTTTTTAGGGGGTTCTTCTGTAAAAGAAAATAATAAAATAAATCAGTATCTTATGAAAATAAATATCGCCTGAGTAACCTACAACAACTACCTTGCTTTGTGCAAGAGCCTTTAATATGATCACAGCCATAAGCAGCAACGGAGGGAGTTTCGCAAGCCAAAGATCTATAGATGGGGACTTGCATTTTAATTTCCTGTTCCATGCCAGGTAAATGGGCATTCTTTTGAAGCACATTTTCTCTGGGTTCACCTACACCATCCATAACATCATAAATGTAAGGAGGACGAACGGGTGTCTTCAAGAAACGACCATGACCTTCAACCACACTAACTTTACCATCCTCAACACAGACACGACCACGAACCATAACAATTTCGGGTACACCATGGCATACCATACCCTCGAAGATGTTGAAATCACAGTTGTGATGATGGGTATCTTTGGAAATTTTGCGGGTTGCATTAGGATTCCAAATGACAATATCGGCATCAGAGCCAACACCAATATAACCCTTTTGGGGGAAAATATTAAAGATCTTAGCAGCATTTGTACTGGTAATGGCAACAAAACGGCAGGGATCCAAAATACCAGCGTGAACACCATTTTGCCAGATCACAGACATACGATCTTCAACACCGTTAACACCATTGGGAATATTGGCAAAGTTGTCCTTACCCAATTCTTTGTGTTCCTTGTTGAAGGTGCAGTTGTCACTGCCGGTGGTTTGGAGGTTGTCACTATAGTAAGGAAGGGGTAAATACAGATTAGCATATGATTTCTTTTGTTGGAACTGTGTAGAAAACTTACTTGGCCAACAAACGCATCATAAACTGTGGGGTTTCAGGGTCAGATCTCAAGGGAGGACTCAAAATGTGGGAGGCAGCATGATGGAAGCACACATGTTGGCAATGTGTGCCATTGGTACCCAAAGCAGCAGCCAAAGTTTCACCATAAATACCACGATTGTTGTAACGTTGACGAGCTCTGGCAAGTTCAATACCAGCAGATTTGCTCATAACGTGCACCACATAGAGGGGACAATCAACCTGTAATATTAATAAAAATAGGATTATTATTTTCCCCCTTTAAGTCTTGTGAAACTATTAAGAAACTCACCTGATGAGCTAAAACACAAACACGATGAACGGCCTCAGCTTCAACCTCCTCCATTCTGGACAATTCATGACCTTCGGGACCAGTGACACCAGCCTTCAATAGCCTACCCACATTCTTGGCAATAATATCACCATTTTCAGCATGAACTTGAGCTACAGCCTTCAAGGCACGTATACGTTCCAAAGCATCCAACATATCGGCATCGTTCAGCTGATAAATACCCTTATAGGCCATGAACATTTTGAACGAATTCACACCATATTCATCACACAATGTTTTCATTTCTTCGGAAACAGAATCGGACCACCAGGTGACGGCTACATGGAAACCAAAATCACAGCATACTTTGCCATCGGCCCAATTGCGCCATCTTTTGTAGGCGGTCAGCAAAGATTCACCCTTGTCGGGCACAACGAAATCGACTGGTGAGAAGAAAAATCTATTAGATATGTTTTAGGTGTCATATTATGTATAGAAATACTTACTGACTGTGGTGGTGCCACCAGATACGGCAGCTCTGGTACCATGATAGAAATCATCTACAGAAACAGCACCTTGGAAGGGGAATTGGAAATGGGTGTGGGGATCAATACCACCGGGGATAACATATTTGCCAGCAGCATCAATAATACGAGCACCACCGGGCATGTTAAATTCGGAGGCGGGACCAACATATCTAAAAAATATATCAATTTATAAAAGAAGAATTAATATATTGAATCCAAAACTGATAGACTAACTGAAATTTTAAATAAGATCCAAAGATATATCTCTTTGAAATATAAGAAATTTGTAATATTTTCTATAATCTATTAGAGGACCCAGATAATACCTTCCGATACTTCTAATAACTTAAATTAGATTCGGTTAGTGACTCATTCTGTAGACTTTTTAAGGATTAAAATTTTTTAAATAATTTGTTAAGATCAAATATTATAAATTTAAAATAGTTGTTTAAAATCACTTTGTTTTTATTATAATTTTAAGAAACTGATAAGACCAACTGTTTGTAGGGGTATAAATAAATATTTTATTATCTTATCTATCAAATATCACTTATCCACTTTTAAATAATTAATTTAGCTTTAATTATTTTTTGTTAAATATAAAATATCTGATTATTATCTATAGTTTTTATTCGTTAATTTTTAATCTTATAAACTCAAAGAATTTTGTTATCGCTATAGGTCCACCACTTCAGAATATGAATAGTTTTATTTGAAAGTGTCATAATTATTCTTAAAAAATAATATCAATTAAATTGAAATCTATGTGGATAATTTTAATTTCTAATTAATACTAAATCATAGTACTTTTTTAGGGTTAAAGATACTAAATTATTTTTCGACTTTGTTTTTATTTTTTAGACTACTACTGACAAGTCTGTGGTCTAGTCTAATATCTATTCGTTAGCCTATGAACTAGACTACTTAGTACATATATTGACCAGTGTATTAACTAGTATAAAGGCAAGGATATTATGAATACTATTGATTAGTCTATTTCTAGTCCATTGTCTAGTCTAAGTATTGATTAGTCTATAGTACTACTATCTATCCTATTGACGAGTCTATTGAAGAGTCTATTTACTAGTCTATCGCCTAGTTGGCTATTCTATTGAATAGTCTATTCATTAGTCTATTTACCAGTCTATTGGTTCGTCTATTGACTGGTCCATCAACTAGTATATTGACTTGTCTATCGACACATCTATTGCCTAATCTAATGACAAGTATATTGGCTAGTCTATTGAATAGTCTATTGACTAGTTCATTGACTTTTCTATATACTAGTTCATTGAATAGTAGAATTGAATATATACTAGTATGTTGACTAGTCTATTGACTCGTCTATTTATTAGTTTATTGACTAATCTATTCACTAGTCTTTTTACTAGTCTATTGACTAATCTATTTACTAGTCTATTGTCTACTCTATTGACTGGTCTATTGACTAGTCTATTTACTTTTCTATTGACTAGTCCATTGACTAGTCAATTGACTAGTAGATTTACTAATCTATTGAATAATCTATTGACGAGTCTATTGATTAGTCTATTGGATAGTCTATTGATTGGCCTCTTGACTAGTCTATTAACTAGTCTATTGAATAATCTATTGACGAGTCTATTGAATAGTCTCTTGGCTATTCTATTGATTGTTGTATTGACTAGTCGATTTACTAGTCTATTAACTAGTCTACTGACTAGTCTATTATTTAGTCCGTGAACTGATCTAGACCGTGGTCCGATCTATGAACAAATCTATTGTCTAGTCATGGACCAGTATATGTAATAGTCTATTGACTAGTCTAAACATTCCAATATTCTTTCCGTGGATTTCGAGAGATTGTACTATATTTGGTCTTAGATCATTATGAAACTTTTTAAGCTAAATTGTATTATTATTTTCATCTTATATCGATATGTATGAACATCTGAAAGATTTTAGGAAGGAAATCTTTTATGGACTCAACTGTATAATTTATGAGAGAGTTATATCGGTGGCTATTATATATCGAACCTCTTGGAATTTGCTAAAAAGATTGTGGTTCAAATACAACTTTCAATTCAATTTCACTTTTTATAATAAACGATTTAGAACGCTAAAGACCTCTTCTAAATGTGGCCCGATTTTCGTCATACTTTCAGGTTACATGAAATTAAGTTACCACTTTTGTTGTTTCCCATGCGATTTTCAATATAAATTTATATTTTCTGAAAGTCGTATTTTTCTAGAAGATTTTTAGGACATTTAGCAAAAGTTCAACCTATTTTTTAAATCAAAATTTCAACTTTAGGTAATATGTTCTTAAAACCTAAAGTTGAAATCCCCGAACAGAATGCAGTCTTAGAAATCTTCATGCATTCTTTGTTTATATCCAAAGTATTTTACCAACTCCAAAAGAAAATTGGACTTAGTGGGCCAAATTATAAAAAATTGGGATTTTTTATAGTTTTTTTTTTTGGGAATTGCTAAATCGTTTGTCCCTGCTATAAGCTTTTTTGAACCCACTTTATTAATTTCTGTACCTAAAACCGAAACTAAAATCTTTCTAAATCTGAGATATTAATAACAAAGCTTTAGTTAAGGTCCTAACATATTTTTGTTTTGAAATCTTTTCGAATCAGTCAGTCCAAGTATATTTCAAGCGGCACTCGCTTATTAAATATCCTATTTAAAGGATTTGAAAGGGAAACATGTAAATTTTTCTTTTCAAATATAATTTTTATTCAAAATTTTCTTTAAAAATAATTTTTCCAAATAAACGTAATCAATAGATATTTCAAAATAAAGAATACAGTTAAATGGAAACAGTGTAATAATTTGTTTATATTAAAAACTTACTTGATTATACCATCTTCAACATAAACATCGGCTTTAAAGGTTTTATCGTAATTGACTACTTGACCATTTTTAATGTAAACACGGTTTTGGGCGCTCTATATTTAAAAAAAAGAAATTAAAATAAATTAATATATAATTTTTAATTGTTTTAAAAGATACTTTTTAAAGTTAACACAGTTCTGTTACACTTAAAATTAATACTTAGATTTGTTTAGTGTCTTTTTCTAAATATTAATCACCTGCAAGTGTAGAGGTACCTTTTTCACTGGGGGATTGGCACTAGACATGTTTATATTTATTTATTTTATTTAAACTGTAAATTAAATAACAAAAAATATTTTGATTATAAAATATTTATAAATTTTCTACAAAAAATTGTATGTTTACGGAATATAAATTAGAGGAGCAAGTTCTTTCGAGCCGGTTCTAATTGATACTAATCGTTTTCTAAACAAAATGCTGACTTTAAACTAAAAACAGATTCAAAAATTCTGAAAAAAAAAATCATAAAACATTTGTTGCTAAAATTCTGATAAGCTTGAAATATAAAAAAAGTAAATAAATATATTTATTTATATACAAATACATAAGTATTGATATGAAAATAAAAAAATATTACATATGTACATACTCGGGCATATAGTTTCCAGCAAAGTACCTACAACAAATTTGTTTAACTCTAGTTTTTTTTAATTTTTGTTTGCCTAAAAATAACGCGTCTGTATAGGTACATGTGTTGCCTTTATCATCATGATTAGTCTAAAATACATTCCGAATCACTATGATACCAACAAAACCAGAATAAATATAAGAATTTTTTGTATATATAGAAAAAAATCCGAAATCGAAAATCATGAAACGTAGCTTTTTAATATCAAAACAAACAAATTTGTTAATCGTATTTTCTAGATTCTAAATACATTGAGAGAATTTTTATAAAGCAGCAGTTTAAACTAAGTTCTGAAAGGGGTTTTTTAAAGATTAGAATCGAAATTTCTATAGAAAAATTTTTCAAAGAAAACTTTATTAAAGTTTGGGAACTATTCGCATGAAATCTTGATCTATTTTTCTAAAAAAAAATTTGTTGATCAATGTATGTTGAACAGTTCTGAAGGATTTTAAGAAAATCTGGCATCGACTAAGGAAAACTTTATATAAATTTCTAAAGAAAATCTGATAATTGTTTGAACAACTTTTTTCAAAAGAACTTCTAAAGAAAAATAGATCCAATTGTAATCAACTTTACAAAGAATCAACTTTTCTACAGAAATTTTGATATTAGTTTGGCCAACCTTTCTGAAATCAATCAGCTTTTCTGAAAAATTTTGATAAACTTTTAATTTTAACTAACTAAGTAACTAACTAACTAACGAACGAACAACGAACGAACGAACGAACGAAAGAACCGAACGAACGAACGAACGAACGAACGAACGAACGAAACGAACGAACGAACGAACGAACGAACGAACGAACGAACGAACGAACGAACGAACGAACGAACGAACGAACGAACGAACGAACGAACGAACGAACGAACGAACGAACGAACGAACGAACGAACGAACGAACGAACGAACAAACGAACGAACAACGAACGAACGAACGAACGAACGAACGAACGAAGAACGAACGAACGAAACAACGAACGAACGAACGAAAACGAACGAACGAACGAAACGAACGAACGAACGAACGAACGAACGAACGAACGAACGAACGAACGAACGAACGAACGAACGAACGAACGAACGAACGAACGAACGAAACGAACGAACGAACGAACGAACGAACGAAGAACGAACGAACGAACGAACGAAACGAACGAACGAACGAACGAACGAACGAACGAACGAACGAACGAAACGAACGAACGAACGAACGAACGAACGAACGAACGAACGAACGAACGAACGAACGAACGAACGAACGAAAGAAACGAACGAACGAACGAACGAAAGAACGAACGAAAACGAACGAAAAACGAACGAACGAACGAACGAACGAACACGAACGAACGAAAGAACGAACGAAACGAAACGAACGAACGAAACGAACGAACGAACGAACGAACGAACGAACGAACGAACGAACGAACGAACGAAACGAACGAACGAACGAACGAACGAACGAACAAGAACGAACGAACGAACTAACGAACGAACGAACGAACACGAACGAAACGAACGAACGAACGAACGAACTAACGAACGAACGAACGAACGAACGAACGAACGAACGAACGAAACGAACGAACGAACGAACGAACGAACGAACGAACGAACGAACGAACTAACGAACGAACGAACGAACGAACGAACTAACGAACGAATAACGAACGAAACGAAAGAACGAACGAACTAACGAAGAACGAACTACTAACGAACTAAAGAAACTAACGAACGAACGGAACGAACAACGAAACTAACGAAAGAACGTAACTAACGAACGGAATAAACGTAACAAGTAACAACAACTAACTAACTGAACAACAAACTAACTAACTAACTAACTAAACAATAACGATACTATACTAACTAACTACACTAACTAAGAACTAAACGAACTAACTAACTCACTGAAACAACTAACGAAACTACAATAAGAACTACTAACTAACTAACGAAACGAAACACTAACTAAACAACTAACTAACTAACTAACTAACGAACTAAAACTACCAACTAACTAACAACTAATAACTAACTCACTAACAACTAACTACACTAACTAACTAACTAGAACGAACTAACTAAACTAACTTAACCTACTAACTAACGAACTAACTAACTACCTTAAACTAACTAACTAACTAAACTAACTGAATAACTAACTAAAAAATTGATCAAGATTGATGAAATTTTCTTCTGAAATTTCGATTTAAGTTTGATCAAATTTTCTCAAGGAGGAAACTTAAATAAAGTTTAAATCTCTTTTCTAAAGAAAACTGACCTAACTTGAATTTGTTCAAAAAAAAAAACTTGATGAAAGTTTAATTCATAACTTTGCAAGAAAACTTGATCTAATATGGTTTTACTCAAATTAATTTTTGACCGGAAATAAGTATTTATTCGAAGGACTTGAAATAATATTTTGACCGAAATGAAGCATTAATTGCTCCATTTCGGTTAAAATTAAATTTGTAAAAGACTGAATTCAAACAAAATAGAATAATTCACAATATAACATTTTATATGAAAATGATTCAATTACCCCGTAAGCTTTAAGAATTAATACTCGGAATTAAATCTTAGGGAATGCGTGCTCTTTTAAATTAGCTAATTTAGATTTTTATAAACATTTTTTACAATGTATCTTCGAATGATTGATAAGTAGTATTTCTTTACAACCTTTCTGAAAACTTTCCACTATATATGAACATAAAATATCATAATTTGTTATTGTATAAATTTAAAAATTCAATAATCTCAGATTCCAGTATTAACTGGCAGACAAACGGACATAAATTCGATTACGCTTAGTTATAGTACGCATAAGAATATGTGCCCCCCAAAAAACACATATAATTTGTAAATCCGTGATAAGATTTCGAAATTAAAAAAAAAACGTCATCAAAGGGTGCGTAAACAAAAAATAATAACAAATACTACCTATAAATATACTCGATTGACTGACTACTTGTCAACAGATTATTAAGAGTTTTAATCAACTAATTGTATATAAAAATTCTATGTAGACAGATGATCGACCACTTGTGAAGTAGTCGAGTCTAAAAATATATGTCAACAAACTAATACATACACTGTGTATATACTATTTGCTATATTTCAGTCCATACAAATTTTCTTATAAACTGGAATATTCGTATTATCTCAAAATGTTGTAGTAAACGACTAAACCCTACTGCGCTGTCAATTTTATAAGTGTTTTAGAAGTCAAACACCTGAAAACCGATCGCCCCATATTTTGAGAACATGGATTAAATTATAACATATTTTGTTTCTATATGTTATCTTTTACAAAGTTTAAAACTTCGAAACTGCCCATGTTGTTTATATCAGCTGTTTCCAACATAAGCATCGAAACTACCATTGATTAAATCATATGGAAAGTTTTGTAAATCGATGACGGTTTTATGATATAATTACGAATATTAAAATTTAATCAATCATTTTCGGTATTGATTTCTATACATATACATATAGAGAAAAATTAACTTGATTTAGTAAAATAATAAATAATAACGAATCCAAAAAGTAACTTCTTGAACAAACTAAATTTATTTAAACATTTTTAATATCGATCTAGTGTTTGTTATCTTGATTCCTTTTTATTGTAAAATGAAGGCAAATTTGATTTCATTAAGTCTTTAGTCGCTGAATTTTTACTTTCTTTATTTTCCATCGGCCTGTGTTATTTTTATCAGTGTACTTAGTTTACATTTGGGAACTGCTGATATTTTAAATAAATATAAATGAGCGAAATGTGTGCAAATCTTTAGACATAAAACTAGTTCTCTTTGAAAACGTGCCTCTCTACAAAAAGGGGTTGGGCAGGTGGGTGCTGGCGCGACTAGTATTATTCCGTTCATATAAAATACTTCACAACATAAATATAAACGATTTTTGTTAGTACATACATATTATAAAGATCTTTTCAAATAAATTAACATATTAGGGTAGTCGACCATATGATGATACTTTATATCATAATACGATTTTATTAAAAGTTTATATGAGAAATATTACATGTTGTTTAGGTTTTGAAAGCTTCGGTCGGGGTAAGAATGGTGCTAAATAATATCTCCATTTTAAAGAACTTTAAAGTGTTAAGGATAAAAAAATATAATTATATATTTCTACCCATTAGATTTTTTCAGTATGGATATCAAAAGAGGATAATTTCCGAAAATGGAAACTATTTCTTGTTCTTATTTTTTTAGGACGAAAAAAAAAGTGTTATTAGTCTTTTATAAAAACAAGTAAGAATGTATAGTCCGCCATGGCCGACATGATACCCTCCAACAGTGAGTATATTAAAAATAAGGATTATTCTTTTTTTATATTAAAGCATTTCATTTGCTTTTTACCCTAATTACGAAATATTTTAACAATTTGTTTAGAAAAGAGATTTTCTAAAAGAGGTGTTATATGGGGTCAAGGTATAGGCCTATTCTTATACATTTTGTTAGAGGAGTTAAGATCTATATCTATATATTATTTATGCAGAATTTAATCGTGATATTAGTGTTTATAAGAGAATTTAAGACCTTTAAGTCTTTTTCTGCAGGGTACTTTATATGGGGGATAGAGCCAAATGAGCCCCGATCATGACGAAAATAGGAAGTATCATTTAAACTTATATAAAACAAAGTTTTTCCAATTTTTATAGATATACTAGAAACTTTTAACAGAATTATGAGCTCAAAAGGTTTACATGAACACACAGATGTATGGACATAGTTAAATAAACTCAGAAAGTGATTCT